GGAAGTTTCACTTTCCCTATTTCAACAAATTTTTATCAATCAAACAACACACAAAACTTGTAATTCCTAGGATGTCTCACTTTTCATGTGTTTTTTATGTCAAACAAACAAGCCCTAAGTTTCTGAAAGCCATCTAAATTTCTGAAGTCAAGTCTGTGGCTGTTGGTGCCTGAGACTCTGGGAGTGGGTTAATATATTTTGTCTTGTGCTATTCTAACAAAATGTATATACTGACTGTAGATGGCATAATATGGATCAGAGAAATATGCAATGTCACAGCAGGAAATGTCTCTCGAGCTTTTATTTAAAACATTTTGATTAAATTTTCATGAGCTTGAACGGGAGAGCGCAGCTTGCCAAGCTCAGTTCCCCTGGAATATACATCACCGTCTCCATGTCTCTGTCTTTGGGCATGTTTGGGAAAACACTACTGATAAGGCAGTGAAAGGCATAAAGCTTACAGTGTGTTAAGCTTATTTTTATTTGTTAGCAGCACTATCAGCTGTTGATTGAAGCGGATAGATGTTAGTAGTCTTACACTCAGTATGACCGAGTATATGACTAACTTAGTTGATTGATAGCTATTGCAAATATAAAAAGGCCCATTTGCTACTTTTAAGACTTAAATTCCTTTTCAACACTTGTAAATACATTTGGTGTCTTAACTTTAGTGTTACTTCCTGGCAGATTTTAATGATTAATTTTAGCTTCAAGACAACATCAGAAGATACAAGTATATTTAAGTCCTAATCATATTACTCCCTCCGTTAATTTTTATTTGCAACTTTAGGGGGAATAGCGGTTCACGAGGCAAAAGTTAAGGGGCAAATATTAATGGGGTTAATTAAATGTGATTAAAGTGTTTGGGGGAGAGAAAGGTTTGGCCCACCACTAAGAAAAGTAGTGGGAAAACCTGTCATACTTTTGGAGGGATTGTATTTCCCTCCAAAATTTCGTTGAAATTTGTTGTGGGCTGAAATTTGGAGAAATTTCATTTCCCACCAAAAATTTGCTGAAATTTTAAACTACAGTACAAAACAGTGTACTGTTTGAAATCTGCAGACCTATATAAGCATTGCATTTCATATTACAGAGGCAATTAAATACAGCCTCTCCATTCAAACAGTAGCATTTAATGGTTTCTTGTTCACCCAAAACATAAACATTGTTCCTCCAAAAGATAATTAAGTTAATACAATTAAGTTAGCCCATTATATACCAAAAAAATTCCTACAATTAAGTTAATACTACCCGACTAAGACCCAAACACCTTCATAGGCAGTTGCAGCTCCTTCCTTCATCTTGTTCTCAAAAACACAGCAGCCACCGTGACATCAATCAGCTAAAGCTAAGGAAACAAACAAGGTCAGACAACCATGGCAGACTCATTTGAAGCGACGTACTTCGATGTGGATCAAATTTTGACAGAAGAACAAGAGGCAGAATTGTACTACGAATACGCAGAAAATTTGCAAGATTTAGGCATGGATTACTACGACTCTGAAGATAATATGATGCAAGACACAGAAGGAGAAGACCAAGGCTAGCAAAACACTGAACACACACAAGCTGAAGGTGGTTTCCAGGAAATGGAACAAGCCCTTCACTAGGGGACTCAACAGAGACAAAGAAAGCAGCTCACCATGAAACAAAGAAGAGAAATAGTGGATTCAATGTTGGTCAACATGCATTAAGACAACTTACCAAGAGGTCACTTAAAGCATTTGGCAGTTAATTACAATGTGCACAAATCAAGCATCACAAGAATTTTTGCAGACATAAAGAAACAAATGGCACAGGGCAGTTTGATTGATGTCAGGAGCAAAAAATTTGGCAGAGTAGGCAGAAAGCCAAAGGAATTTTCTGATGAATTCCTACAATTAGTGCCTTTACATTTAAGGCAGACAGAAAGGAGCTATGCAGCAGCATTAAAGATCTCCCATGTGACACTTCACAATTTGAAGAAAAAGGGAAGGTTAAGAACACACACAAGTACCAACAAGCCAGCCCTGACATCAGACCACAAGGTAGCAAGAATGAAATGGATTTTGTCACACATAAATCCAGTTACAAGTAATGGGGACCCAACATTTGTTGAAATGAACAATGTGATACACATGGATGAGAAATGGTTCTATCTGAACCCTGACAAGAGGAGGTTTTACCTCCTACCTAGTGAGGAAGATCCTTATAGGCCTATACAGTCCACAAGATTCAAGCTCAAAGCAATGTTTATGGGCTAATTGGGAAGCCATTGTATGACACAGATGGGGGACTACTTCATGATGGGAAATATGGAATATTCCCATTCACAGTCAAACAACTAGCCAAGAAGTCAAGTAAAAACAGAGTAGTAGGAACATGGGAAACAAAAGCAATACATAATGTAAACAAAGAGGTCATCAGAGACATGTTGGTGGCCAATGTCATTCCAGCAATTATTTCAAAGTGGCCTGACAGTAAGCCAGAAAATATTGTAATCCAATGGGACAATGCAAGGCCACACCAAGTTCCTACTGATGCAGAGTTTATGGCAGCAACAACAGCTCATGGATTTAACATTCAATTTGTTTTCCAACCACCACAATCACCAGATTTGAATGTGCTTGACTTAGGGTTGTTTAGGTCAATACAATCATTGCAATATCAGTCTTTTCCTAGCAACCTAGATGAGTTAGTTACAAAAGTGCAAGAATCTTATGAGACATTCAATCCTCAAGTCAACAAGTACATTTGGCTGTCTTTGCAAAAGTGCATGATTGAGATCCTTAAGGTACAAGGTGGGAATAAGTACAAATTACCCCACATGAACAAGAAAAAAACTCGAAAACCTTGGAGAGTTGCCAAATAATGTACCAATGCAGAAGGAACTTGTTTTGGAGGCAGTGGAGTACCTAGACACTATGTTTAGGCCAGTAAATGAGGGGACTGAACAAGGAACAGAAGAATTTGAGGTAGATGCAGACTGAGGGACTCATCACATCAAAGTAGAGACACATGGACTGCCACACATAACCACTTACAGTTGGTATGGTAATTTTGTTTTATAATCTGTTTTTTATTCTAGTATTAGGTGGTTAGGTGTATTTTGTTGATTACAGTGATGAATCATGTTAGGCAGTCTAATGTCAAGTACTTTTTAACCACATGTTCAATGGAATAGAAATGGTTAAGAGTCTGATGTTAAGTGGGCACTCAATCCATCAGAAGTTTTTTTTTTCCATGTTTCAATAAACCACCAACCACAAGGTTACCTCAACAATAACAGCATAAAGCACATCATTGGAGCAAAACACTTGTGGGTTGGGATCGGAAGGTCAATAGAGTCCCTTCCTCATTTGGATTTTGACAGAGTACACAACACAGACACTTAGGGGACTGAATACAAGTCATGCTACCACATAAGGGACTGTCATGTGTTCTCTACTTAATAGATCATTGAGAACACTTCAAGGTATGACCAAGGCACCTTTAAAAAATGTACAGACACATTAGCCTCATCATTCATCAATCAAACACCCATATGCCATTTTCCAACAATCCAACAACTGCTAAAATATACTCCAACACATGCATACATGCAACATAGTCCAGAACAACAGACATAGCCAAGCATCCAACTGACCAGCCAATAACAAACAGGCTATCTAGCCAACAAATCCCGGAACAGCAAACATGACAAAAGAGTAGGCAATAAAAAACAGGCAACCATCCAACATCAATCCAGATCTACGCATACAAAACCAACTAAGCCAACATGCATCCAGATCTAATCAAAGAATCCCACAACACCAACCAATTAACAAAGCTAATCAACAGTATATCGAAAAAATCAAAAAATAGGGACTTTTTTTAAAAAAAAAATTAACACATGAAGGGTTAGAAAGCGTTACGCAAGGGTCACTTGGAAGGTTGAACCCTAAGGTTCATCCGCCTCGCAGAGCGCTTCTTCAGAAGAGGGCCAACCACTTCACCGTCGTCACCTTGGTCAGCCTCGTCATCAGAAGTCAGGATAATGACCTCCTTGGCAGGCAACCCCCGAATACGACTCAAAGCCACCCAGGCCGCCTTCCTTTTAGGCCGAATCTTGCGTGGTGGCCTTGGATTGTTAGATCTGGGCTTAGTTTTGGACATAACACTCCCCTCAGCACTGTCGCACACTGGATCTATAGAAACATCAGTGCAGTCTAGCGCTTGTTTCCCCCGTGAATCTCCTTGACCCTCACCGGTCTTGCGACGCTCATCCTCGTCTACGCTTTCAAGAACTTGGCCCAAGGCCTCGTATGTGGTCGGAGAACAGTAATTCAGGGCCCCCTCAAACGCATATACCTCACGAGGAAAAGGAGATCCTTCGGCGATACCTGTCATCAGGATTTTTATCAAGTTTGCCTCGCCCTTGTCATTGGTGGCGATATAAGCGTCGCGAAGTGGAGATAGGTTAACCATGGTGGTGGGGGACTCTTTTTTTTGGAAGTTGAGAGGACGAAAACTCAGATTTCAGGAGGAACAATGGTGAAAATTACAGAGGCGAAGGAGAGTGAAAGTCGAAGAACCAGATCTAGGGTTCTTAAGAAGACTCGAGAAGCCAGAAATAATCCCAATGTTTTTTCAATTAAATGTTGGTGGTTGGCAATGTGGCTGTTGGGATTGGATTGGGGGAAATAAGGAGGGAGTAATTAGATTAGGTTAATTTAGATGTTTTGTATGTAATGTGGGATTAGGGTTAATAAGGGGTAGAATTAAAAAAATCACAAAATTTAAGTAAGGGTAAAATAGTAATTTTTAGGGTTTTTGTTTACCACAAAAATGGAAATAAATTAGAAAGTTGCAAATAATTTTTAGCGGACTAAAATGGCAAAAGTTGCAAATAAAAATTGACGGAGGGAGTAGTAGTTTTTGCCCTGAAATGTGATGTGACTTTGGCGCCTAAAAAATTTACCAATTTTGGACATAAGGCATCAATACTAAAATATATGACTTGTTTGAAAAGATATTAATTTGTACTCCGTAGTTTATAGGAAAAGAAAATACATCATACGAAGTAAAGAAATGAAGAAGTGTTGTGCCAATGCCAATGCACATGCACTTCGTAGTTAAGAAATCTGTTTTTGGATCCAAACATGTCCTTTTCCACTGGTGAATGACATTGCCAAAGCTCTTTCTTACTTTCTGTACAATTACCAACAGAAATCATATACAACGTACTAGGGTATATGCTGTCTATCCCAAGTTAAAAGTATTATCCATAACTCAGCCTTGCAAAAATTGATATCAAAATTGCATGTTTCAGTTCTATCAGAGCACTTTTTAGGCCTTTCATAATAAAGTCAGATGCTCTTGCTGTGAGGCACATGTCTCAGTTGCCAAATTCTGCTGCTCTGATTCTGCAGGCATCTCTACAGAAGAAGCAGCTGAAGGTCCTTGCTAACAAGTAGATTCTGCAGCTGTTTTTGTTTCGTCAAAGGTAGAAGACAAGGGTTCTGAATGAGCTGAAGAAGAAGGTTCATTCTGCCACTTGGAATGAGATTCAGAATAAGATAACCCCTCAGAATTAACGTCGCTTTTTGAAGGAGTGATTTGCATCTTCTTGCCAGAAATTTCAGCTGATGATGCTGTGGCTGTACTGGGAAATTCCCCCGTCCTACAAACCTAGAAAATTTAGCACCATCACTTTTTAATTACATCATGCTTGGTTGCTGAAGGCAGAACTAAGGTAGAAGAACAGTCCCTAGTAGGCTTGTGGACTTCCAATGAAGAACCAAAGAACAGAAGTTTACAGTCAATCTCCGCTATGAAGAACAACATAGTACATACTACAACTCCCCCCCCCCCCCCCTCCCCTCCTCTTCCCCTGATCCTGTCTTTAGTGAAAGAAGCTGTTCCAATGTTATACAAACACATTTGTACTTGGTCTATAAGAAAAACAGCTATAAGAATCATTTATATAAAAAAAAAAAAAAGCATCAGTAGAGCTGAAAAATTACCTTAATGGTTCTTGAATAAAAAGATGCCCTACTGAATCTCAAAGCCTTATCAGCAGCCACCTTGTTTTGGAAAGTAATGTAAGCAGACCTAAACATGGGAGTTTTTCTCAAACATCAGATATCCATAAATTTTTTTGACAAATGAAAGACAGATAAAGAGATGAAAATCTACTTTTCTCGTGCAGATGGCATATTATCAGCGAATTTGACATCTACTACAGCTCCACATTTCCAGAAGTACATCAATAAAGCTTCTTTTGTTGCCTCGAAATGCACCTACAAATTTGTTAGTCATTAACATGATACTTGTCATCAGTCTCATTACCCAACTAATATCTTCAAATGCAGGAAAAGATATATTTTGAACAGGGGCAATTAAGCAAAATCTATGTCTTTTCTCTAAAAGCAAAGCAAATGATAAGATGGCTCTCACGGTTGGTGCATGCATGAGTACCCTAATTTTTATACTCAAATTCTTTTTAGATAGGTAAAGGGGAAGATATAAGCTCCAATATCGTTGCTCCAGAACTTCCATTCAACATAAGTAAGAAAAAATATGTCATTATTTTGCCTTAGCATTCAGCCAATTTCCAATTATGTTCATACACAAACCACTTTCTATGCATGTCAAAGGCATTATCTATTCTAAGGCCCATTATGCTAAGCAAAGTCTTAACATATGAATTTCCCTCCTGTGGAAGATACATGCAATGTAGAAAAGATGAGATTAAATCAATCATATTGGACTTATTGCAATTTTTTTTAAGGGCATTAGGCTTTTACATTAGTCACGAGCACTGTTCTCGATCCATCCACTGTTGGCTTTATCACACCTGCAAAAGGAGTGATCAAGTTTACTTGAGCAATGGCAAACCTCTGTCAGAATATAGGAGAGAAGCACCGGGAGGAGAACATTAAGCTAATCAAGTACGAAGTATTTAGAGTACAAGATAGCCGTAAAAACAAGTAAGAGATGATAGTTACTTTGGGCAGGAACCTGTGGGACAACATCATAATAACCTGAAACACTAACTAATAATTTAAGCAGTCATTTAAAAAGTGCATTTATCTTGCTCAATTCTATGACTCTTCAACATCTAGGTTTTTTTTTTAATTTTTTTTTTTATTTTTATGTTGATGACTAAGATAAGATTTCAGAGCAAATTTCTTTAATATCCCAAAACACACAATGTTTAGGCATTAGTGAATATATGGCCATCAACAAATTAAGATCTGGCAATCCTGCACATGTTTAAAATGTTCAAAAAATTAATTATGAAATCCATAGGCTAAAAATTTTTTACATGTAAAATTTGTATGCAGATTGTACAATAGGCATGGCACTATAGTATTATCAAAATATCTGATGAGCAAATGGAACACTATTTTACCAGATTTTGTCAGTAAGTTGGTCTTTCTATCTTTCTCCAACGATATTTGCTTTGCTCGTAGCTTAACCATATCTAGCTCAATCTGACGCAATCGCAATTTCATATCATCCACTTGCTGCATAGGATGCATGGGCATGTTAGTACTATAAGGCAAGAAGCACTAAGCCATAGCAGAGGGATATTGTCACATTCATTATATCTCAATGGCTCAGTGTAACAAACAAAGTAATTTCAAAGGAGACAATTATTTAGATGAAACCTAGTCTTTTTATTAGTAAGCACCTTCTAGGTCATTAGATAAATATAAGCAGCAAGATCAATTAATAATAATAATAAAAAAAATACCATCGGACCCTTCCCCAATTAACAAACTAAGTCTTCGATTCCTGAGCATTATAACTTGATATGAGCCATCTACATGTTAAAGTGGTCTCATTAATCCAAAATTGAGTCATTGGGTTAAATTAACCGGCTTCACCGCTTAAGAAACTATAAAAACAGCAGTAGAGGTATCATGAGCTCAAAAGTTTCAAGATATACACGCCAACCAGTTCAATATTTCATTATGATGAGGATACCAGGGGTTAGGGGAAAATGGGAGCAGGTTTCACATACAGGGACAACAGACTGAGAACCGTCTGATGGTACTTGTGATATATTACTGGACTGCCAAGCCTTTTCAAATTGGTTTTCTGTTATCTTCTCTGTTGTCATACCAGCATCTATTTGGCTACTAATTTCACCAAACTGCCTTTTTCTTCCAATATTACTAATAGATGGAACCTCAGAATTTGTCTTAACAACATTTTTTGGTCTCATGGTGTCATCAAGTTGGCGAGTGCCACCTCCCCGGACAGACTGATGTGCTTGTCTCAATTTTCTGCTGCCTTGAACTCTAGGCAGAGCAGGCAAGGGAGAAGCCTGAACTATTTGTTCAGAAGGATTAGGAATCATTGAAGAATGGTGGTCAGTCCAGTTTTTATTGCAATGAGCCTTGTCTCTTGCACAAAAATCAACAGTCTGGCTTCTGGATAGTGCATCCTGTTGAGGCTTCCCCAATCTTTCCCAAACACATTTCCGTGGCTGGTTGATATTGCAGGATGGAATAACTGGAGGAAGGCTTCCTTTCAAGGCATTACCCACATTACGCATTTGTGGGCACTCTGCCACAAAAAAAGTAATGCTGGTATTTACAATGATAATATCAAGCAAGATTTCAATGAATGAGTCTTCATGAACATGGCTAATTTTGGGAAGCAATTATTCACCTATTTATTACCTGAAAGCTTACTGACATTAGAGAACTGTGTTCTAAAAGCAGGACTCCTCTCTTGGAAAGAAGAAGGATGCCTCCCCAATAAACTAGCAGGTTCCTTATCTGGCAGGTTACAGCTTCGAGTAGACTTAGGTACAGATGCAGGAAGAAAATCGAGATTCAAAGCAACATCTTTCCTTGCTAAAGAAGCAGCCTTGGGAGACAAGTCAGTGCACCTAGAATGCTACATCAGTAGTTAAAAATCAGATATAATGCATATCAATATCCAAACGAACACACAAAATTTAAGCACTCATTATGTCTACCTTTTCACAGTCATTTACTGTTTCAGGCTGATAATTCCTAACTGATGACAGCATCTTCTTCGAATAATCAAACTTAGCAACTTTGTTTCGAAGGTCACTCAACTGGATGGCACTATTTGCCAACTCTTTTGCCAGGGGGGAATGATAATCCTTTTGTGTTTTGATATCAGAAGATTTACGGGCTTGCCCAGATGAATGATTTTTATCATGTTTACCCTGGCGATAAAAATAATTTTCAAAACTTCACCAGAAAATTACAGACGACTCTAGCACAAAGAAGTTTTATTCAAAAAGTTCCATTACCATCATATTGGCAGAGTAACTCTGACAACTTTTAAATGTTCTGTTTGCACAAGCTTTGTCTCTATCAACATCACACAAACTATGGACAGTGCCAACAGTCATATCTGATGATACTGAAGCAGTTAATTGAGTCTCATTCTTCAGAAGAAACTTCCATAGCCTACAATATTGAGCCAGAAATATCAAAAGAGAATTTCGGCTATAGAATTAGGAAGCAAGTACACAGTTCAAAAGTCTGAATCCTCACTAAATTTACATTGGAGTTTCACTATCCAAAATTGCAAGGATATCATTTACAGCAATATTATTGGTCACAAATAATTATCAGGAGGTAACAGTCACAGATGTTTGTTTTGTATCAGTAACTAAACAATTGCTGTAGTCGGCAAGTTTCTGTGAGGTAGCTCAAGAATGCTATCTCAACACTGTTTTGCAAGGTTTATCTCACATAAATGCAGTAGTCCAGGAGAACAGCATTTGATTTAGCAACAAGCATTTGTTGGATAATGATAAAACAGCTGATCATTAGATCAAGAATTACTCACCAAGATACAAATTCCTCAGTCCTCCTTCCAAGAAACGCGTGCAAATCGTCTCTTGCCTGATTTTGGTTTTTCCCATTACATACCAAAACTGTGATGTACTCCTGCAGAAAAAGGAAAGGAAGCAAAAAGTTAGTTATGAAATCGGAAAACCTTTTCACAGTGAGCTTCAATGTTAAACATGAGCTCACTGATGATATGAAAATGAAAGCATAATATTAGATACGAAAGACCAGCGTCACATTATCAGGTCATTCACATGCAGCAAAATTTGTACCAAGTTACAAGCATTCGAAGCAATAATACCAGATACGAACTGTTCAAAACCCCTTGGTATGTGATTTTAATATAGATCTCACCTCTAAGTGGCTGCATGCTCATGAGGAAAGCATAATTCGAAAAGCAATGCTTGTGAAACTATTGAAACACACCTCTACTTGGTAAAAAAAGAAACTCTGGTTCAAGTACCCGGTTTTACCTGGTTTTCATGGATAGATCATATAGCATGTTTCCTTGTGGTATGAGTCAAAGAGATACCACCTTACAACAAAACAGCATGGTTTAAAAGAAAATCAGGTTAAGACTCCAGAGTATCAAATTCAACATAAAAACAGCTGAACACACAGATCATCCTGCAGACTGAACAGGAACTGAGAAGCTAAAGACATTTAGGGTAGATAAAGGCTCAGATAAGGATTGGTCAGATGGTAACCTATCTCACATTGAAGCCCTCCAGTTACTTTAATCTATACCAGTCACCAAACTGCTTCCTTGTAGAGACCGAACATTGGACAGCTTTTCATCAAAGAAAAAAATATATAGCTCCAGGTGATTTGTTTATTAGTTAATAATATAGCTCTAAAAGTAGTACAACATTACTGAGACTGAGACTCTGAGAGGGAAGTTCCAATTTTCCAAAGAAGCTTCAGGTGAATTCGTGCCTGTTTCTCTGTTACATTGCAGCTTGATCAATAGCATATTCTATTAAAGGGGAAAAATCTTAAGATGATAGGTTTCCATGCACATAGAGAAGATCACAAAATTTCACTTTCATCATCAACAGCTTCCAATGTTAGTAGGGAAACACTTCTTTTTTGAGGCCTTCACCCTAATTAATAGTTACCATTTTCCATTTCTGCAGTTTACTTTCCATGCAAGTAAAATTGTAAATCCAAACTTTAAAACTTGCAACGATGACTCATCCAGGGAACACCAATGTAACGATGCCCACACTAATCTGGCATGTTACTTCTGGGTGTTTTTTTCATAACAAGTCAAATTTCATCAGCTGAACTGCAATAGGCATCTTATAATACACAGCATTCTATATATGTTCACTTATGAATTAT